CTGCAATAAGCAACATTTTAAATTAACAGAAAACCTCTTTGTAGGAAGACTTGGGTGCAACGGAAAAATGCAGGATTTCTATTTTCTGACTCACTTTATGTGGGGATGGGATCTTAAAGAATCTAAAAAGTAACCCAAAAATATAAATGTCAATGAATTTTCAGTTAAATATGGTGGCTGCAAACATTGATACTTCTTTCCAAAGTCCTAACATGGCAGGAAAGGAATTAAAACAGAAGAGGAGAAAACTGTGGACAAGAACTGTCGGTCAGAGTTTGGAAAATGTCTGGGCCGTTAGCGGAGGGAGCTGACCTGAGTCTGCAGCAAGAAGCAAGCCAAGCCCCAAGGGGCCTCGCATTTGGAGGCACACTGTTCTTTGAAGGGTGGGGATGAGGTGTGAGTGTGAAAGGAGAGGTGGAAAGTCTCAAACAGAAGCAACTGACCTCACCCCATCTCCAGGCCCTCCTTTCCCACTGCAAGATGCTAGAGGTTCATTCTCTGGGTAAAACGAGCCAGAGATCTGGACTCTCATAGCCAGGTACAGAGGAGGACAGATACTGCTGAACACCTGAGGATTAAGTTAAAATCCTTCAGAATCACGGAACCTCAGCTAGGCATTTCCAGCCCCCAGATGAGTCTGGAAGATGCTTCTGTAGAAATTAAAACCCCCAGAGAAAAGGCCATCATGAATGTGTGAGGAGAGATGGAGATTTACCAAATGGTAAAGTTGGTCTCCCACCCAATCATCCTATCTCCAAAGATACTAGTCAACCAGCCCCCCCTTCCTGCTCTCAGGGTCTCATGGTAGAATATGAACAGACTACTTAGAATCAGTTTCAGAAAGTCCCCGCCCAATGGACAGACTAAAACAAACTAAAGAAAGTAACTCAGAAAATGACAATTCAGAGACTAGGAGAAAAACATTAAAATTACTTTTGTCAGAAAAATAAGGTGAAATACTGCACTCATGATACAAGAATGGGCTGCAACAAAAAGGAATAGTCTGAAAACAAGGAGTGACACTTAGAAATGATAACTGGCAGCTGAAGAGGGCATAGAAGGAATAAATGGTGATGGGAAAAATAAAATACATTTTGAAAAATTCAACTCTCAGAGCTGAATAAACCACTAAGGAGATGAACCGTAGAAAAGAGGGTTGATTTGACTCATCCCACATCTGCTTGATGCCAGGAAGAAGAGAGAAGTGGAGGGGAGAGCATTATTAAACAGTACAAGAAACTTACTGTTCTCTTCGCCACAAATGGAGTTGCATTTCCTTTCATGTGCAATAGGAGTCTCAGAGGGGCCTCTGAGGAACGTCCTAGTCAGATAGGAACTCAAAAACACTCCCTGGAACGGGCGACCTGAGGTACTGGGCACCTTGGAGACAGAGTTTTCGGCAGAGCAGTGGGGGCAGAGCCAGAGTGGAGAGGCCTGCAGAGCAAATGGAAAATTGGGAAGAGATAATTCGTGAGTATACAATACTTTCAAAAAATTTTCCAATGAAAAATCAACCAATAGCTCTAAGGATTAAGGGTGGGAATTTTTTATAGGTAGGAAACACTAAGGCATGCTTGTGTGCTGAGGTACTGATACAAAATAGATAAAAAGTAAAAGTGACTTGAAATAACAATTGTATTATTGTTTCTTAGGTAAATAAGACCACATTTATAATTAATAAAGAGAAAATGGGGAAGAAGTTTACCCAATTCAGGCATCCCAAACATCTTTGACCTCAATGATGGGAATGATTTAAATTCAAAGGATTAGAGGAGGTATATGGTTTTTCCCAAGTACCCACCTCAATTCTCCATGGTTATATAATGTACATGAAAATAGCCGTTAATGGATTTTCTAGAAAAAGTCTCCCACAGTATTTTCACTGACGACTTGTGTCACTAGTACACTGATTTGATTAGTCCACATTTAAGGTGGTACTTTTATTACCCACTTGTTCAACAAGTAATTTAACATTCCACAGGGTCTACTACATACAGACAACGTGCCCTTGTGGATACACGGGTATCTGTAATTCTAGGGCATGGACATAGGTTGCAAAGAAAAGCAAGTCTCTGCACTCACAGTGCTCAGTAGCAGACACAAGTGTTAGACCCACCTGCCAGCCTCCCAATGTCTGAAACCCACCATGGCCATCAGGACAAGACCAAGTGGCACAGAAACAATCCCGTTGGGAAGGGTAGGGCCTCACCCCTGTCCACCCTCCAGGACATGCCATGGTTTGGTAGTCCAGGGGACCCCTCGTGGAAGTAAAAAAGCAGCTTCAGCTTCGGGTGGTTCTAACAACCTGAAGTCACCTTCCTTAAGTTATTGCCCCAGTTACTCTGCCGGGCAATCCAAAGGGCCAGCACCACCGCTAAATTACACAGCTGTCATTGTCGTCTCCCCAAAACCACTGGTGCCAACTTCACAGTGCTGTCCAGCCACCCGTGGGAGAGAACATCGCAAGCCAGGGAGCCGCTCCTGCTCAGGTAGATGTGAGATGACAAAGTGTGGTGTGAAAGTGCAACAGCCGTGTTGGCTGAGAGTGGGCGGAGCTCCTGGCAAGACCTAATTTACTCCCTGGCAATGGCTGCTTTGCTGGAAGAGTCTGGTTCTACTTCTGTCAAGAATTTGCTGTTATGAATGTTCTCTCTGTATAAAATATCTGTTATTTCAATAGCCATCAAGGAATGTAGACGAAGAATGAAAGGAACAGTAATGACCAGGAAGCATTTCTGAGTCACAGAGAATGTTCCTATGCAAGAAGAAATAATTTTATTCTATTTTTGCAAATGCAAATAAGAATGGAAATTTTACATGGTCATTTTCACCATGTAATAGATTTTGTCAGTGCTGCCAAGTTCTACAATAATTCTAAATGCCTCTCATTCATTCCCGTGCTGAGGGCTGGTCCTTACATCTCCTCACAGCAGGTCAGAGCTGAGAACTGCTGCCTTTCTCTCAGCTAGATTCCAACCATTTTACAGCTTTAATTTTTTTTTAAGTGCAGCAGGCTAAGAACTTGGGTTTAGGATCTGGCTTTAGGCATCTAGCGGTCTTAGGCTGCATTTTTTCTAGAGAATTATGAGTGAGTGCCATGAAACGGAGAGACACCTGGAGGGTGCTCTGGCTGTGTGAGCTTAGGCTACTCACTTACCTTCTCTGGGCCTCAGTTTCCTCCTTTGAGAAGTTGGACAGGAGAATCTCTGAGGTCCCAATTCTCACATCCTGTGGTTCTATAAATGATGTCAACCAAAACAGGTCACTCTAGGTGGCCTATGAAAGAAGAAAGTGCCCTACAGCTTTCTAGTTTCTGAATAGAACATTCAAAAGGTAGAATGGAATCTACCCCCTGAGCAGACACATGCCACCTCAGGCAGAGGGAAGGAAGAAATCTCAAGGAGCCTGACATGCCAAAAAGAGCTGCCTGCCACCACGCACTTGCCTTTGTTGCTGAACCAGCTGGCTCTCAGGAATCCACATAGGAAAGCCCAGCCAGCCTGGTTCCCTACTTAGGCCCCAAAGCAGTTCTTTGTTCTGAGGTTTACCAAAAACCAGAAGATAAATAATTTTCCTACAAATTCACACAAACCCAGAAACTAAAGCGCTTTCTAGAATACTTGGGCCCTGGCTGGGTAGCTAAGTTGGTTAGAGCATCATCCCAATACACCAATGTTGTGGGTTTGATCCCAGTCAGGGCACATACTAGCATCAACCAATGAATGCATAAATAAGTGGAACAACAAATTATGTTTCTCTCCCCCCCCCCCTTCCACCCGCCCTCCCTCCCTTCCTCTCTCTCGTTCAAATCAACTTAAAAAAAATTGTTCTCTGGTTCACCAACCTTTTTTTGGTATCATAGCCTCACAAAACTTGTCTGCTGCCCATTGTGTATTTTCTTCAAGCTTCAAATTTTACAGTCAAGAGCTTACAAACATTTTCCTTAGTAGCTTTGAGGAATTATTTGCATATACGTTGTACCCATATAAAGTGTACAATTTGATAAATATTGACAGTTTTGCACATGTGTGAAACTGCCATCACTCAAGTCACAGAACATTTCACCACCAAGAGCTAACTCCCTTGTACCTTTTTGTGGTCCATAGACAACCACTGACCTGCTTTTTGTCACTACAATAGATTACCTTCTCTAGAATTTTACATAAGTGGCATCATACAGCATGTACTCTTGTGTCTGGCTTCTTCCATTCAATATCATGAAATTCATTCCTACTGCATGTATCAGTAGTTTGTTCCTTCTGGTTGCTAAGTAGTAGTCCATTATATGGATGGTGTTACATTTTGTTTATTCATTCATCTGTTAATGGGCATTTGAGTTATTTCCAGTTTGGGGCTATTGTGAGGACATGTTTTTATTTCTTTTGAGTAAAGGAGTAGAATGTCTGGATCATATGGTAGGTGTGTTTAAATAAAGTTCACAAAATGTCCAAACAGTGAATGACCGCCAGGCACACCTTTGCCCTCAGATGAGAGAAGCCTTTGTTTCTTTAGAGGCACTGAATAAGTTACAGACCATTTCTCCCACTTGCAGAGGAGGAAATTGTGGCCTGGGGAGATGAAAATACCTCCACAAAAGAGCTGCAGGCATGTTAAAGGTGTTGGCAGGTCCCGTGTGTGAAGAGCGCTGCATGGAAACGATTATGTCGAGTGCTTCATGGAAGGACAAGAGGAGCTGCCCAGCTCAGGGGCCCAGCTCACCTATGGACTGTCCTGGTCAGGAATAATCTAATCCTCACTTACATCTGGTGGCATACCTTCTCTGCTTAGAATCCAATGGGGAAAATAGTTTTAGCCTGACTTCTGACAAAGCCCTAGAAGCCCCTGGAACTTACCAGGCATGGGTGAAGACAGCCACTTCTCCGAGGCCAGGGTTGCCCACTCAGAGCTGGGCCACACCTCTGTGGGCACACTTTACACCTTTGATAAATGTACAGCCACTAGTAATGAGCTTGGCTTGAATTCATTTAAGAGGAATCCAGTGTGGAAATATTTGTTCATGTTTTCATTCTTGTTTGCAATAAAAATGGAATAAAATCATTAAATGACCACATTGCTTCCTTAATCCAAAACATAAGCCTAACAAAATTCTGATTAAAAACAATAAATTCCGTTTGCTTTCTATTGTCAATAGTATGCGGGATTCTTGGAGGGATATTTGTAAAACCATCTTTAGCAATAACAGCAAACCTTATTTTAGATGGGATGGCATTTTAAGTGTTGCAATCAAGCAGGAGTGGGGATAAAGGGGGAGAGATCAACCAAAGGACTTGTATGCATGCATATAAGCCTAACCAATGGACAGAGGCACCAGGGGGGTGAGGGCATGAGCAGGAAGGGGGGATGGGGGAATAAGGACACATAGGTAATACCTTAATCAAAAAAAAAAAAGACCAATTAAAAAAAGAAAATGCATATTTAAAGGGAAAAAATGTGTTACTTGAAGGCACATAACCATAACCCAACAGCAAATAAAATTAGTTTCATTTCTCTCAGAAAAAAGCAACTTTGGGAGTTTGTGATATGAAAAGAATATATTATTAAGCCCTTCTCTGTATGACTTTTTCTTGACACACCCAGAGGAAAAAAATTGGAATGAAATTCAAAAATTCTTTGAACCAAATAACAAAGAGGAAGAACTGGCAGCTTACTGAAAAGCATTACATTTATCGCATTTACAAACGTGACACTTTTTTTCAAAGGCAGCCCAGGCTCTGCAGAGAAAACAAAAGCCCCCGTCATCATTGAAGTTGGTTTTATAGCCTGAAGATTAAGTTGCATCTCAAAAGCGTTTCTGTGGTTTTCATGCTTCAAACATGCTGCAGGTTTTTAAGGAATCCGTAAGTACTCTGGCTCTAGAGACACTGCCCGCTCCAGTGGGCAGCAACAACTATCTTGGTACTCAGACAAGGTGGGACCAAAATCTTCATTTTGTTTTTTATTTTTATAGTTAGAACAGCAAGTGGAAGGGAGTTCTTAACTGGAGAGTGTGTATGGTGAAGGCTAAGTACTGACACCCCTTTGTTTGGTCCTGACTCCAAGAACCCCAGAATCTTCCCCGAGTAAGCCCACTAACTGCTATCAGTGTTATTGTTTAGCTTCCAAAGTTGTCGCTGAGGTTCCTGGGTCCACATGAGCTAGCCTAACCTGGCACAAGAAGGACTGTATTAAGAGCACAGTTCAGAACTCCTCGCATCATACCCCCATTAAGTATGATGTAGGCCTCTCAGGAATCAGGGCATTAGGTGGAGGTGGGAGTACTGCATACAATCCTGTTTTTTCACCCCAAAAGTTATAGCACAGTCTTCGGGTCAGATAATAATCCAGGCAACAGGAAGGACTGAATGAATGATCATCAGCAATTCAGGAAACTTCCCCAGGGCCCTGCCCTAGAGGCTCCACCCAGCAGCCACCCAGCTCCAATCTTGCTACAGCCTCTTGAGTAAGCAGTCAACTCCACTTTTTTCAAAATCTTTCTATGTCATTGCTGAGGGTGGGAAAGAAAACTATGCCTCTTAGAGAAAAATAGGAGCTTTCTGAGTTCAAACTGGATTCCATCCATTGCTGGTTACATGGCATTGGGTGACCACTGGTGTCCGGTCTCTGGGCTCATCTGTGCAGTGGAGCCACCCATCACCTCGCTGGGCTGTGGTCAGGACCAAATGACGTAACATGGAGAGTGCCCAGCACATGATACAAAGTGAATAATATTTGCCTTCTCCCTCTTTCAGCTACTGCTCTTTCAAATAGAATGAAATGATTAAAACTAGAATTAGAGTTTCAAGACGTCTTGGTTTGAGGAACAAATCATCAGCCAAAAGGAGGGTTTGGACCTTTTCTCTTTGTTGAGACCCAAGCTAATATTTAGCGGGCAGTGGCTGCGGACCTAGGCTACATTCAGCCATGATAAACATTATTCCCAGGAGAGTGTCATCCAACTTTCAGTTCAGGTTGCTCAGGGCCAACTTGGGAATTAAAGCAATGGGAATTGCTAACTTCACTCTAACCTGGCACATGTGGCTTAATGACTAATATGTCAGCCAACGGAGGAGAAGGAAGTTCTCCCGGGGTGTTTTGCACTCTCTGAAGGAGGCTGCGTCCGGCCTGGGCAGCAATCTTTGGCAGGGCTTGCTCTTGACAGAGTGTCTATCAATAGCTCAGTCTTTACTCTGGAGGGAAGCCGTGTATCTTCCCGACTGGTGATGGTAAAAGTACATCATGGCACCTAACAAAATCTGCTAGTCCAAAAGATGTGACGAATGAAAGCATGCTCAAAGCTCTGAACCAAGCCCAACGCGGGGAATGTGTGCTAGTTCTGTCGAGTTCTTGCTCATGATAATTCAACAGTCCAAGCAAGAAGCTTGTTATCAGTTCTAACATGGGACTTGGAAAAGAAAAAAATTTATGCTAACACTTACAAGATTAGTAACCATACTTCTGACCAACATGGCCATAATTGATAAAGCTAACAGGCTAAAGAGGAACGCTTTCCTTAAATGGCCTTATACCATTAACACTCAGGTGTTTAATTTTTGTTATTGTTGTTGATGTGTAGATTAGCTACTAGGAAAAAACTTCTCTGAAATAGTCATGAGAATGAACTTTGTAGCTACTCAGAAATATGATTTTAAAACACTGAAAAATTATGAGGACATGTCCTTTAGTTTTTAAGCAGCTATTCTACTTTTTTGCCAAACACAAAATATATTTGAGATAGTTTATTATAAAAATGTAAGAACCATCAGACCAATATAATAAGACCAAACTACTGATAAGAAAAAAATAGGAGCAAGGAACAAATAAGGACCAAGAGGAAGAAAAAAAGAAACTGTAAGAACTCTCTGAGGAACACTATAGGCTTTAAGCCCCAAGCCTGGTCTTAGCTTCCTAGCAGCCAGGGTGATGAGGGAATGATGGATTTATGTAGTTGGTATTGCCCAGAGATAAGAAGCATTGGCCCAAAAGAAAAAATTTGTTTAGTCTTAGTTTTCGAAAACAATTTTTGAGAGACCTTTTCTTAAAAGGGGAATTGGGTAGTACAATAAAAAGAAAATTCCTGTAGTACATTACCGTAACATGCAGAAGAGAACGCCCAGTGTATGTGATTGTATTAAGAGCACAGCTCAGAACTTCTCGCATCGTTCCCCCACTAGGTATGAAGTAGGCCTTGCAGGAACATTATGGAGATAAGTAAGGCTACCCCATGTTAACATCAATTAGGTCCTGGGAGTCCGAATCCCAGCAGCCTAGCAGCCCCAGGCAATCGGAATGTCGCCTCACATTTGGATGTGAAGCAGATCATTTCCTGGTTAATAGAAGATATAACAAAGAATTTTAGTTTGTAAGCCTGAGCTATCCTTGGTATGGATCCTACTGATTTAGTATAAAATTAAATGAGTTATCAATTTGATTATCTGGTGTCACCTGCTAGCTCTTCTCTAGTTCATTTTGGACCTTTCGACCTCCATTTCTCCCTGCAAACCCCTTTCAATGTCAGGGCTCCCTAGGGTTTTGGTCCTGTTGTCTTCACCCTCTCTGATTTCATCTCATGGCTTCACCAACAGCCTATTTTCTGGTAACTTCCCAATCCATTTCTCTAGCCAACACTTCCTTCCCAATCTTCAGACTCATAAGACTTCTGGAGAAGAACCTCCAACTCAACAAACAAAACTTACCTTTCTTCAGACCAAATCTGGAAACCTAGAAGTCCTCCAGCTACCAAGGCCTACGAAGTCTATTGGTGGTGGGTACATTTTTGCAGGCCACAGTTTGGGTGTGCAAAGGATATAATTTCATTCTTCTCAATTTTGTTCTAAAACATATTCTGCATCAGAAACATTGATTTTGTCAGTTCAAGATAAACTCAGACATTTAGGGTTTCCTACCTCCTCTCGGGTTACAGCTAGGTTTCATGGAGCATCAGGGAACTTGGAGAGCTGGGAGAGTGGTGGGCTCTGGTTCCTTGTCCACCTCTATCAGTGCTGGCATTTGCTTCCACAACTAGGTTGCCCTGGCCACTGGCACCTTTCTGCACCAACATCCACTGAGCTGCCCATCTGATTTGGTCTTTGGTCCCAAGTGACTTTGTCCTAATTTATTGGCTCCTTCGTCAATTACTTCTGCGCCTGCTAGAGAGGGTCAGGCAGGGAAACATTGCAGATCCTCCCTGTGCCACTCTGGGATCCCAAGAAACTTGCTGGGGACTCTCTTAGCTTAGACACACCATGTCTCCATTTCTCCTCAGCATCTGCTGCATCACCCTGGCCAGGGGATATCTGGAAACTGAGGCATGGGTGTCTTGTGCTATTCAATTCTCAATCCTTTGGGGTTCACCTTTGTCCCTGACTTAAGGCTGGTGTGTCAGAGGGAGGGGGCAGTGCTCAGGGTTCCTTCTTAGTAATACTACCCTCTCATTATCTTGTTTCCTTCATTTCCTCTTGCTTATCACACAAGAGTTGTTGTTTTAATCTGATTTGAGAGGAGAAATTCAAAAGTAGAGAATTGACTTTCTCATTACTGCACTAACAACCCAGTCCTGAGGGCCAGGGAATAGAATGCTTTGGCTGTTGTCTGAATTGGGGGTAAGGGGAAGGGAAAGGATTAATAAATGCCAGGAAAGAAACAGATTAAAAATTTTAAAATATCATCCCATCACATACCTCCTGAATATCTCTCATTATTAGTTCAGCTGTTTTCGCATCATTTTCCGTTTTGTTTTGTTTTGTCTCTTACTTGGACTGCTAGAATGAAAAAATAAGTTATCTAGAATCCTGAATCTTTTCTTGCAGAACCTTCCTTAGTTCTGCAAGAAACCCCTGCCCCCAAATTTTCTGAGATATAATTGGTATATAATATGTAAAAGTTTAAGGTATACAGTGTGCCATATATATAATTATTACCACAATAGTTACCACCTCCATTGACTCAAAGAGTCAAATTCATTCTTGATGCTGTGGCCAGTGATTTGCTTTTTCTAAAATGTAAATCCAATCATGTTAACTTCCCTCCTCCAAGGTTCCGGAGACTTTCCACTGCCTTTAGGACGTCAGAACTGCCAAGGACATGAAACAAGGTCTCAGTCTGGAATCTGTCCACCTCATCTGCTCTGGTGCCCCAAGCTAAGCCACTGACGGGTCCATCAGGAGTTAGACTGAATTTGAGTGTATGGCTCTGTGCTCTCGTGATGCACCCTTTCCCCTTGGCTGGCTCTCTGGCCATCAGCAGAATCTTCTAAGTAGACATCTACTTATCTTTACATCTCAGCTCAGATGTCACCTCCTCAACGGCCACTGATCGACTACTAGCCCCTACTTCTGTATAGTCACTGGAAGCTATGACTCCTTTTAGCATAACACTGTCTTACTGCACATATTGAATGCATATGCTTTCTTCACTAGACTGTGTTCCTTGCGAGAAGGGACTATGTCTTAGATCTTTGCATTCCCAGTGTCTAGTGATATTGTGGGTGCTCACAAAATGTTTCAACTGGCAGGGGAAGACTACACTTTGGGTTTGTCTCACATACCCCTGTTGGTTCCCTGGTCATCCCGATGGTACTGTTCAACAGCTGGTGGACCAAGTCACTAAGCAAGGTTAAAATTTACTTAGGGCAGCCCCTCTTTTCTAGACAGTAAGCATATTCTGTTGTTCAACATACTTATTCAACATTTTTTGTCCAAAGCATGTGCTAGGTGTTGCTTGTAGTTTCATTTATAAATATTTCCCTCAGGATCAGTTAAAACATTTTTTGAAATTTTCAGGAAAACTTAAACATCCAGAGTTTATCCTGATTTGGATTATAAGAGGCAGTGTGGGGTATTTGGTAACTGGGTATTAATCAATCCTAAACACCCCTAATATTTAATAAGTAGCTTCAAGTTCAGGAAGAAGGTGGTGGTATAAAAGAAAAAAGAAAAATATGCAAATGCTTAAACTGTGACATATCCATAAAGCGTAACTCTGAAGGAGTTAAAAAGGACGAGGTAGGTCTATTCATACCAACTTGGCCATACCTTCCAAAGAAATTAAGTAAAAAGTAGCAATTGTAGAACAAGACACGCCATATAAAATTTATACACTCCCTGCTCCCTCAAACAACTAAAAATATCTATCAACAAATACATTTTGTATATAAACGCATATAAAATGCTGAAAGGACACATATTAACTAGGTTATAGTAGCAATTTCTAGGAATGAAACTGAGATGTTAAGAGGGACTTTTGCTTTATCTGTACTGTTAAAAAAACATTTGCAAAAAAGAAATCATGTAAGAACCACTTGCATAATTAAGTTTTTTCGCTAAAAAAGCAGAGAAGTAGTGAGTTAAATATTTAAAGACAATACTATTGTAAAATGGAGAACGTTTTTTTCTCATTAAGTGATAGATTGTTAAATATCGTGAGTTTAAACTTTTGTACCTGTACCTGCCTTTTTATAAGTTGGGCCACGATGGAGTGGATTAGCAGGCAGAGGACCTGTGTTCTATTCCTTGTTCTGCCTCTTACTGGGCCAATCACTTAATCTTGCTGAGTCTATGAAATCTATAAAATGGGATGACAAATACGGTTAAGTCACGACGTTGCTGTGAACTTGTGAGATGGCCATGCACCGTGGACTGTGACGGTCTATGTTTACACTATTATATATAACGGGATTGTAAAGCACAGAATGTACTCTAGATAAAGGCTCTGCTAAAGGAGACCAAGATTAATCACTAAGTAGAAAAATATGTACAAAGGTGGTTTAAAAGTCAGTTTATTTGACAATTCACAAGTGATTTGTACGTTTTATGGATTATTTGGAGCCAAATTTGAAAACTAGTAGCTCCATTTCTTCCTGGAATGTCTGGCATGCTCTAATTCACCTAAGGAGTGCAAGTCATGTCTACTCAAGGAATTCAAGCTCATTTTAATTTTAACTTAAACTAGACATAAAAATCAAATAACAAATACAAGGAGTATTTTGTTGCTGTTGTTTGAGCTTATTTCTAACAGAGATAATTTGTATACAGTTACCTGTTTATGAATCAATATAAAAAGACGAGTAAGACAACAGAAACGTTAACCCTAAACTTTCTATGGCAATGAGAACACAAAATCACCTGGTCCTCGGGGTGAATTCAGTATCCAAGTAACACATTGGAAAAAGCACATGCAATACACTTAAGCCTCTAGAACTTGACTTTGAGGAGAGGCAGGTGAGCCACAGAAAGATAATAAGTTCTACTAGGAAAGTGTTAATTCTTCTTGTCTGTTGTCCCCCCACCCCCACAACCTTTTAGAAATGACAGCAACATGGAAGCTATTAACAGAAAAAAAAGGTAACATTTAATCAACAAGTCAATAAGAAAAATGAAGTCATTTTCATAAACATTTGAAACTGGGCTTATAGAAGACAGCAGTTACCACATGTAGACCCACCTATGTATTTTGTTTCAGTTGCAAAGTATTGAGAAAGCCCGGATTCACACTAAGAAATAGTAGCACTTCTTTAATAGCTCACCTCGAAATGCCAAGATGCTCTTCAATTTATCAGAGATGGCCTTAGTCTGCATCTGCACAAAAATAGTTAACCTGGTACTGATGTTTGCTGGATTTCAATGTTTTAAAATGTTATAAATGGTGTACTGGAGTTTGTTGGTTTTGATTTTTTAAGTTAATATATATTTTAAAATCAAACTTTATTGAAGGATCTCAATAGAAAACAGTTCGAGTATCATTGCCTCAGACATGAGTTTATTTACTAGTATTATTATCGTGTGAAATCTGCCTGGTTTTCTGACACTCCACTCTAGGCTTCCATGAATCCCCACACTTTGGTTGTCCACTCTTCCCTCTCGGCCGTTCCTTCTGTTCCTTTGACAAGCTCTTGTCCTGTCCTGCACCTGGCCCACAGTGACATGGTCATCTTATTCTCCCCATTTCTTATGCCCTCAATTACCATTACCTATGCCGGCAACTCCCAAATACCTGTCTCCCAAATAGCTCCTATTTCTCTTCTAAGCTCCATTTAGACTTAGATCTCAGTTGGATGTTCTATAGACATCTTAAACTCAAAACAGAACTCATCATTCATCATCCTTTGTCTCACCTCCTCTCTTGAATTTGCTCTCTCAATAAATGGGATTGTTCATCTGGTTGTTCAACTCAAGAGATCTAGGAATCATCCCGCATCCTTCTTTTTCCTTGTCATCTACATTAGCCAATCAGCCCTACTAATTCCACCTTCTAAATACTCTCTGAATCCATTCCACCTTCTCCATTCCCACTGCCACTGCCATGATGGGGGATTTATTGTACTTCACACAATACCTAGACTTATAAAACATGTTTTTGTTACATCACTTCTTTACAGGAAATCCTTAAATACCTTTGCATTTCCTTCAGAATAAAACCCACAATTTCATACAACTTAAAGTCCTTCCTGTTCTTCCCTTTGCCTACTTCTCCATTATACTCTGCAATTCTCTTTCACTTCTTTTTCTGCTAGTTAGCTCCTACTCCTACATCAAGGCTCAGACAGGTACCATCTCTTCTGGAAAAGACTTCTCCACTCCTCTTGCCTCTGGGGCCCCTCATGTGAGTGCTCTCCTTTTCCCAGCACTTTACACTGTAAAGTACATGTGTCCTGCACGAAATTGTGAGCGTCTCTCTTGTTTCGATTCCAAAATAGAATAACAGGTGGGACATAACAGGTGCTCAATAAATATTTTAGTTGCAAGAGCAAGAAGCATGACTTAGAGGCCGATGGATCACTTACAGGTCTATTAACAAAGCACTAACCTCACAACTGGGACTTCCCAGTGAGACGACACCTTGCTCTATGAATCTTTTCAATTAACCCAATTCAAACCCAATCCTTTTGGTTCCTCAACCAAAGTTAAAGATAGAATTAACACATTATCCTGCAATCCCACTCCTAGGTGGAAATGAAAACAGGGACTCAAACAAACACTTGTACATGAATGTTCATTGCAGAATTACTCACAATAGCCAAAAGGTAAAAATGACCCACATGTCAATTGACAGATGAATGGATAAAGCAAATGTGGTATATCTGTACAATGGAATATTATTCAGCATTCAAAAGAATAAAATTCTGATATATGCCACAATATGGATGAGCCTTGAAAGCATTTTACTAAATGAAAAAACCAGACACAAAAAGACAAATATTGTATGATTCTACTTATGTGAGGCATATTACCATCCAATGAGTTACTTCTGTGGCTGAGCCAATGGCTTGATCAACCTGGAGAGGCCTCAACTGCTGTGGAACCAGAACCGACCACAAACTAACTCAGTACTGACTGCTGACCTGCTACTCAGTGGAGGGGGGTGAGTTGTGCAGGTTTACAACTTGTTTCACGAGGGAACTTGAGAGATGAACTGCCTTTCCAAGGCCTTTAGAAATAGTTTGATACCTAAGTTTTATAGACTGAATTCTGCATATGGAACTACTTTCCTTATATTATCTGAAGTGCTTAAATTTAAAAAATTGGGACTAAAACGTGACAGCTGCAAATAAAATATGACTTACAACTGAATGACAAAAAGCATTGTCAAAATCAAAGGAAGCTAAAGGAAGAAGTTCAAGGAGTATGGATATAAAATATATAATTAAGTGCCCTAACAGAGATATTCTAGAGAGGCAAGGAAGGCAAGCTAGAGGGAAAGATTGTACCAGAAAATGAGCCAAGATTTCCACCTTCTTTAACTGATGTACTGGACGGCCAGCCCGATGATGGAGGGGACACTGGATGGCCAGCCCGATGATGGAGGGGACACTGGACGGCCAGCCCGATGATGGAGGGGACACTGGACGGCCAGCCCGATGATGGAGGGGACACTGGACGGCCAGCCCGATGATGGAGGGGACACTGGACGGCCAGCCCGATGATGGAGGGGACACTGGACGGTCAGCCCGATGATGGAGGGGACACTGGATGGCCAGCCCGATGACTTCAGGTGCAATCATTTGAGCCTCTTCCCTGCCTTCCTCCACCCCCTTCCAAAGGAACACCCCTGGATGGGCCCCTCTATGTAGAAATGAAATGTCAAACAGTTAGTACAGTGCCTGTCATACAGCAGATCGTCAGCAAACACTCCTTTATGTTCCATTTCATACTGAAGTTGTCAGGAAAGCATTCGCTTCAAGTACAGGTGCTCTCTAGCCATGTTTTCTGAAATAGTCATTCTGCTTAAGCCATAACTATTAAATAGGTCATAGACAGAGGTCATAGATATATGACTGACTACATATATGCACATATAACACAGACAAAATCATGAATGTTGCTAGAAAAACTACCGACAAAAGACATTTTTCGATGCTACAAAAATGGGCTTAATTTTGCATTTATTAGGCACCCATTATCACCTTAATTTGGTGTTATTAAAAGAAAGCAGAGTAATATGTCTGTCCCTGGGTAGATCGGATGTGAAAATAACTGACAAAAGTAGGTCAGAATCCCACAGAATGGTGAGTTTGAATGTTGTCACATTAAGTTATAAATCCTGACAAGACAAATTTCAAGGTTTCTGAAAGCCTTTGAAATTCATGAGGGCAATCCCAACTCATTTATTTAAAAGCAGCAGCAGGTAGGAAATAGCGCTTTTGTGTGTCTCTGGCTATGCTGCCGTCCCTTAGAGAAAAACTGGTGATCATGCTCCTCCTCTTCCTGCTGGCTCCGACCTCCCCCTCAAAACAAACCCTCTTCCCACCCTGATGTGCCCCCGGTATCCTCTGGAATGGGTCCTCGAGAGGAAACAAGTGTCCTCAAAGAGACCAGCGATTCCATTAGAAGTCTAGTGGGAGCTGTGGCCTTTCCCCTATTCTATCTAGTCCAGATGTAATTTCTCTCAGTGTTACCTGTTTTTGGTAAAAATGACTGACGTTTCTTTTCCATCTAGCGTACAAAGCAGAAATCACTAGGCAGTGAGTGCTGACTGAGTTTTTGAGGTGGTGTTTTTTTTCTTGGATGAAACTGTTAGCTATTTTATGAGGCAATATATAAACAAAAAAATGAAAAACATTTGCCCTGGCCAATTAGCTCAGTAGTTAGAGCACCGGCCTGCAGACCAAACAGCCCCCTGGTTTGATTCCTGGTCAAGGGCAAATACTTTGGTTGCAGGTTCCCAGCCTTGGTAGGGGCGAGTGTAGGAGGCAGCCAATCGATGTGTCTCTCGTGTCAATATTTCTCTCTTCCTCCTCTTTCCTCCCTTACACTCTCTTTAGAAACCAGTGAAAAATATGTCCTCGGGTGAGGGTTAAATAAATGAATAAATAAATACATCATGTCTTTAATTCAATTAACTATGTTTCTATTTGTGTGACATCTACATATCAGATTCCCATAGAGAAAAACTTTCATAAAAATGTAAGGTCCAATTTAATGTGAATATGAGGAACATCTGCACAATTAGAGTAAGGTAAATGATGCATCTGTTGCCATTCTAAAAAGATCCTTTTCTAATAATTTTCAAAATATTCTTACATAAAAATCATCTTAACAAATTATGGTATAATAGGCTACTTGAGAAAATTTTAAAAATGTCATTCTCAACTACTACTTATCTGGAAGTTTTCTTCTTCAAGTTTTATATAATTTACTTCATGAATGATAAAAGAACAATGCTAAATATCCAGAAGACAAAAATTCATTGAAGACTATTTTATAACTTCAAGCACAGAATTTCAGGAGGTTAGAATCATTTGATGTCAAATAAACAAAATAATTTATTGAAAAACAAACACACAAACAAACGCTGCCACCTAACAAATGTTCCCCCTGCCTGCCTCCCACTCCAGAACGGACAGAAATCAGGTGCGCAGTAGACAGCAGGCGAGCTGCGTACTCCAGAGTTAAATGAAAACATGGAAGACTGTAGCACACTTGTTAAAGAATGAATTTAATTTGAACAAGGAATTTAATTCTTTAACAAACAAATGACTTTAAAAAGGTGGTACTGGTTTAATTTTGAGTGTCCCTTTTTCAAGTTCCACTTGGAGGAAAAAAAAGTGTAAGTTTTTTCTCCACTGTAATTGCCTCCCAACAGGTCAATGACAGCAAAACATTAAATCTATGATGGTGCTGGAGTTCTTCTGTGAGGGCAGGGATGCACCTTCATGAACTTTGTAAAATCTGCAATAAGGGAGAGAAAAAAGAGAGAGGGGAAGGGAGGAAGGGCGGAGGGAGAGGAGGGGGAGGGAGGGGGAGAGAGAGAGAGAGAGAGAGAGAGAGAGAGAGAGAGAGAGAGAGAGAGAGAGAGGCCCCAAAACTAATTTCCCAGGCAGGAAAATACTTACAAAACCTTTTATGTCAAAGTTAGGGTTTCACAACGAAATCACACTAATGTAAAATCCAATAGCACCTGTAAGATTTAAGTAAATGCTGCCATCGCTTGGACGCTTTTTGAAAAGTATCTGTAAAAGACTGAGGGGGAAAGATAAAGTACATTCTCCAGAGAACAACAAATGTATGTCAAAATAAAAACTGTATTTTTGTCTTTCTTTTTCTTCAGTGGTTTTTTTGTATAAGAATTCAGTTTTCATGTAATAACTTATACACAACGGGATCAACCTCGGCTCTCCTTTCTGTGTCACTTCGAGTCCACATGTTCAGGCTACAGTCCCCAACATTACTTTCTGACAAATATATTACCACAGTTTGATCTAAATATAGATACATTATATAATATTTGTCTCTGGGAAAATCAAATTTTAATATGCAAACTTTTATTTCTATAATACAGAAATGGAGAAAACTACAGTAGGCACACAACCTAATTATGAGTTGAAAATGATGACTCTAGATACTCTCCTACCATAAATCAATGTTTAAAATAGTCTTAAGATTTTTATTTATATGTGCACTTGTGTCCACCTTATCCCATATACTGTACACATCTAATGACAATCTGGGAATTTAAAGGTGCAGCCCTCAAGAAATTGTTAGATCACTTTAAAAAAAATTAGGCTCTATTGGACAAGGAAAAAACTCAGAAAATTTCCAATTTTAAATTTCATATAGTAGGAAAATATTAAAAATAATTTTCTGTATATACATATGGGTATATGTATATATTGAGTTACACACATCTCACATATCAATACAACTCAAGTGGAGACATTTTGATGAATTATTTTCCCACTATATAATAACTATGTCAAAATTTAAAAATATCTTATTACATCATTAAAATAATTCACTTACCATTTCAACAGCTTACACTGTTTATTTATTTTTAACTCTTCATATCTACATTCCCTGATCCCCTATTTAAGTCAAAATCTGGTGCTCTTTGTTACTCAGAAACTGATAGATAAAATCACATCTACTTCAAAATTCTATCAATTAAATAAAATTTTATTACCTGATTTGTCAGAGAAATATCTCAGCTCTGAGCTTGTGTACCTACATTACCTTCCCTGTAATACATAGGTGAGGAAAATACCTTAAAATAGATGGAGGTAACTCACATGATGTCATAGCACATATAATACATGATGATTAAGTGTCTGATAAAAACTTTTCAGAGACATCTGAAAACTCACTTTAGAAACTAACTTTAGAAACAAACCATTTATTTTTCACTCTAATATAAATTAATATGTATGTATTTTCATACATACACATACATATATAAAACAAAATTGCTTATGCTGAGTAGCTATTTGTGAGTGAAAAAATGGTTACAAATTGATTAATTAGCTTAATTTTGTTCTTGACAATTCAATCCTTTGGGGGTACAAACCAAAAGTCAGTGCACTTTGTAGACTCCTCAGAGTCAGATTCCCAGCATACACTTTAAAAAAGAACCCTCCTCCACATCGCAGGCATTGTACAGCGAGAATACATGGACTCTGATGCAACTCCTACTCCTTATGCAGACTAAACAGCACGTGCCTTACTTTTAAAATAGCTTCTTAAAAGAAATATATAAAGAAATGCATCTTTGCTAAAAGTCTTTTAAAATTACATCAAAACAACATTAAAACCTGTTCACTGAGAAGAGCCTATTGAATTGAATTCCTGTGTTGAAATGCCTAGTTAACAGTTCAGAATATTGCCTTGTGAGGTTTGACTAGAGAGATGGTTGGCGTGAAGATCCAGACAGAGTACACGGCTCAATCCCAATAGTCCTCTGATCAGCTGTTTGATGGAAATGGATCCCTTTTAAAATAGCTATACACCTGAAAATGATCTGTAATAAACAGTTCCCCAATAACCATAATTATTTGTAAATTGAAATGCGTTGATCATTCAGAAAAGATTTCTTGCAAAATATATAAATAAAGGTAACTGCATATTCTGTAAATATACTTAACATTGCTAGACCAGACCGTCAGTGACGGGCTGCTGCATTTCAGTACTGTGTCAAATTTATTAGAAATTTAAAAAGAAAAATTTCTGAGGGACTCAGCTGCCTTCGTTAGTTGGCTTTAAAATGTGTAATAAAATGGGAGACAGTATCTTCTCATAAATACATGGAATCAATATGGAAAAGTAAACTATACAGTGACAAGGTTAGAGAACACCAGAGTGTAGCAGAGTGGTCACCAGAGTGAAATATCTTCCCGCGTAAAAAAGGGGAAGAGCTCTATACACCCCGTCACAGCAAGCATGTTTCAATTAAAGATGCAGCTCTCTCTCACTCCTGGCAAGAATTAACTGGTAATGACACTGCTTCTCAACAGTGCAAAAATATCCTGAGAAATTATTCAGATTATAACAAAAGACAGGGCTTTCGTCACTAAGTTTTTTTGCACAAAACACAGCTTTAGATATCATAAATAAATTAAGTTAAAAAGCAGATAGCCTTCACTGTGTTGAACACAAAAGGGGGATGTGACCCAGACATTATTAATTCTCCCATTGGCTAATATCAGGAAAAAGAAGAAAAGGATTGCATTAAGTGTCTATTTATAATTTTCTAGTTAACTATGGCCAATAATATACATGGAGGTAATTTGTAGTTCAAGTGTTTCATCTCTTTTTTCCCCAACTAGCTAAAAGCTGGATTCTAAAATTTACACTGAAATATACAATTCCAATTTTCAAAAAAATCCTCCTCCCGGAGGAGTGATATTTAAATTTTTTGTGCAATCTTGATGCAGAGCCCAAACAGTCCTATGAAGGGAGACAGTGTATTTTTTAATCAATTGGCACTGAAATTTCACTTTCCTTAGCTGCATTCTAGAAGCTTGGCCAGGTTATCTCGTAACTCTGTTAGTTCAAATATTTTCCCATCGAGAATGTCTAAGAGCGTCTTCAGGTTATTACGAAAAGCTTCTTGTTCGCTCTGACTTTTCTCCAGACGTTGCTCTAAGTCAGACAGTTGTCCCTCCAGGTCTTTGTTCCGAATTTCTACTTCCTTTAGAAACAAAAATGTGACATATATACACGTCAGTTCATGATTTAGAAAACGATACGACTTTTGTTATTACCAATATTGTGGTCGTTATGAATCTCAAGTTAACACAATTTTAGGAGAGATTTCAGACTTCACCATTTGAGAAATCCATGCGGTTTTACTGACGGGTTTGTGCATGAATCCACCGACCCATCTAACAAAAATGTCCTGACTGCTTACTTTGTGCCAGGCAAGCACCTGGGCACTTCAAATACCGAGACAGTACTGAAGACCCACTTAGATGTTTACCTGCATCTCATTTCTATTTCTGCTACCATGTTGTTCCTAATGCACAATTGTTAGCAATCTCTGGTGAAAGCAGGCAGAGAAAAAGAGGGAAGTTAATGTTTTCTCCTTACTGGCAATTCTGGAGAAAGACTGAGAGAAGAAAATGATTCCCTAAAATTAAGTTTTAGGATCCTCTGAATATGTTAATTATTCTCTGTTTTGCCATAAGAGCGAATGAATGCATGTGGTAGAAAATATAGTTCAATTGCTAAAAGTGATAGTGAAGATATATAATAACTACATATAAGAATTATAAAGCTAAAATTCCAACATACTGGAGAACAAGGAAAGAAAAAGAATCACAAAAAAGGAAGTTCATGGCAACAAAAATAATTTTTTAACACATTAAATTCTGGCATACTTAGAAGTTTTTACTGCTCTAAAAATGTTTCTAAATGTGACAAAAATAGTAAGCAATTCTATAAAATAAAATAACATAACAGGAGGTTTGATTTAATTTCAGTAAAAGATAAAATTGAGAAAAAAAAGCAGAAAATCAACTATTATACTTTAAATAAGCATATGAATTGCAGATAAGCAATGAATTGAAAGTTACAGCAGTCCGCTTATCTGAGAGGGGACACATTCTGAGATCCCCAGTGGATGCCTGAAACTGCAGAGAGTACCAAACCCTATATATACTGTATTTTTCCCTACACATACATACCTATGATAACATTGAACTTATAAATTAGGTACAGTAAAATATTAACAATAAAATGGAATAATTATAACAAATACTGTAGTAAAAGTTATGTGAATGTGGTCTCTCTCTCAAAATATCTGGTAACTGAGACAGCTACTACGTGACCAATAGGTGGGTAGCCTTCTCAACGTGGACACGCTGGACGAAGAGACGTTATGTCCTGGGGTGGAACAGAGCAGGACGGCTGGAGATTTTTCATGATGCTCAAAATGGTGTGCAATTTAAAACTTATAAATTGTTTATTTTTGGAATTTCCCATTTAATATTTTCAGACTGCAGTTGACCGCAAGTAACTGTTTTTTGTGCAATCTTGATAAAATACAAAAAACCCTAGGTAAAGAGGGGGCTACTGTATATAGCCTTTCTAGAAAGCTCACTTTTACAACTGAGAGGACTGAGGTGACTGACACAATTTACATTCACGTATGCAAATTCAATGGAGTAATAAAAACATTTTGGTGTTAGTAACACAATATGAATCAGCCTCAGAAACTATATTTCAAAAACATTAGTACATCATTTAAGTATAAATCTCTAAAAAATTCTGTCAAGTCTAAAGGATAGGGGGAAAATTTTTTAAATTACTGCAAGACAATTTGGTAAATAAAAAGAACAGTAGGTGAAGCAGATCTGTATGCATGAGGACAAACACTGGGAATTAATGTACTAATAGGAAACAGGAACTACTTCAGGGCTTTGGGATTATGGGTACTTTTTTCCGAAATTTGTCTTATGATACCTGCTAAACTTTGGAGAAAAATAACTGGGAAATGGCTTGAATACATAAGAGAGTAACAGTTGATTTAGGATTCCGAACATGTAGAAATGTTCATGGGCTTTGACAGAAATAACTAAGATCAAGGCTTAAGCCAGGATGCTAAGGATGCGTTGCAACAGCCTGGGAAAATATAAAAAAGGAATTATGCAGCTATAATCACTTATAAATGAAGAATTTAAGGAATCCCAACCTAATCTTAAGGTATTTACTGTGAGATGTTTACCAGGTACGTTTCTAATCTCTTTCCTTTGAATAATCCACAAGATGAAGATAAGTAAACTGAGCGCAGAATCTGAAATCAATAAAATGTTTATAAATTCAGAATCCCTGGAGGCTCTAAACGATGAGGGAGAAAATAGACCCTGGGATCAAATCTAAAAACGCCACTCATGCTCTCTTGCCTGCTTAAACAATAAGCTTAAGAGTAGAATGTTTCCAACTATAAAAATAGACGAAATGTCATTCACTAGAAAACACCCACTTCACCAGGCGCCGCCCAGTTTGCCCTCTAAAGCCTTCCTTTAAAACGAAAGGCTTCCTTGTTCTCTTTGCCAATCAAGGAAACATCCAAACATTTTCAATGGAAGCAAGCAAAACACAAAATTCTCTCAACTATTAAAACGGTACTGTTCTCTCTCAAAGGAGTCTCACACTCCAAGCCGTTTTTCTGATTGGAGGAATTTTACTAGGGAGGTAACAAAAGGGATCCAATACAATGCTGACGGTGCTGGTCTATTCTGAGGCAGAGAATGTGATCCTAGGGCAAGAACAGACAACCGGTGCACGGGGCCAACAGGAGGCCATCAGAGCCCTAGATGGTGGCACTTCCCATTCTTCCACCTTCTGTACATATTTTCCAATCCTCTTTTTTCTTCCTGTATTATCTCTCCGAACTCATTCTTCTGTTTATTATCATTCTTGTCCTACTATTTTCCCCTCTCCTTTAATGATATGTAAGCATGTTACCGGACACCCAGAGGCCTGGTTCCGCCCTTATAAAGAAAGCACTGCAGCCGTAATCGGTTTGGCACAGTGGATAGAGCGTCGGCCTGCGGGCGGAAAGGTCCCAGGTTTGATTCCGGTCAAGGGCATGTACCTGGGTTGCGGGCACATCCCCAGTAGGGGGTGTGCAGGAGGCAGCTGATGGATATTTCTCTCTCATCGATGTTTCTAACTATCCCTCTCCTTTCCTCTGTGTAAAAAAATCAATAAAATATATTATAAAAAAAAAAAAGAAAACACTGCAGGCTAGAATTTTTGCTAACTCCCTTTCCAGTGCTTTACAGTCAATAACTGAAAGTATCGATCCTAGTTGACAGAAGGTCAAGCTCTGTATTTGTTAGTTTGATAAGTACTTTTGATATTCAGTGAAATAATAGGTAAAAATTGATATTCACAATCCCAGGTGCCAACTGTAATTATTCAATTACTGACCAATCAATGATGAAATACATTTAGCAATTTAATATGAATAAATTACCTCTTAGTTTCTCTGGGATAATGTAAATGTACATATAACTAAAAAATTTTTTTAAAGAATTGTTAGAATGATTGGACACTTGCTGCCTGAAGCAGTGTGGTCATGAAGAAAGAAGAGAAATTTTGAAATCAAAACAAATCTAGGCCTCACTCCTTTCTAGCTAGGTGCTTGACTGTACTTGCTAACACCTCTGAACTGCTGCCTTCTCGTTGGAAGTGGGATACAACACCTCTTACTGTGAGAATCAGAGCCAATGTGTGTAAGTGCTTAGCATACGCCTGAATTATAGCCAATATTGAAAAAATGGTAGCCAAAGTTGAAACAGGCAACAAAACTAGGCTGCATTTCCCCCATATTTTCCCAGCCCCGATTGCAGGCTTCATATTTTAGTTCTACACCAAGATGTCTCAACCGTGGCATACTGACATTTTGGACGAGATGACTCCATGTTCTGCAGCATCCTTGGCTTTGACCCACAAGCTAGCAGTAGCACCGCCCTACTTGTGAACATAAAAAATGTCTCCACACATTGTTAAATGTCCCCTGGGGAACAAAACTGTACCCAGTTGAAAACCACTGATTTACACAGATGATTAAAATGTAGAAACATTTTGTAGAGCAAATCAAAACAAGTGACCTCATTTTTTCCCAGGCCACTGAAAATCAGTGATAGGAGGGGGAAAGGGAAATATTTCATTTCATGTAAAGAACCTGTTTTCTTTATGAAGGCTCTCTACTGTCAGAGAATGTGACCGTCTCCATTTACATACAGGTTGAACAAGTTAGCCTATGTAAGCCTCTGTTTCTTCATTGACTCACAGAGAATAAACGCATAACATAAGTGAAGTGCTTAGTGCAGTGTGTCCAGTAACATAGGAAATATTCAATAACTGCTGGTCATTCTGATGATAATCTAGGTACTCTTTCCAATCCTGGGCTTTCAGGTCCCACTTATCACCTCTTATCCAAAATTCCTCACTCTATACATGCATTTATTTCTACTGCAAACCATAAAGTGGTCCTTACCCCTCTTGAGGTAGCCATGGGGGTTTAATCAAAGTTTCTGAGTTTTCAGGAGGAGACTGTGGTAATGAGTTTTAAAAAATCCTTCTAACGATGGTTCGCTGCCACTGACACCTAATAGGTGTATATAAATTGGAAGCATACTATTCATGCAGAAAAAAGTGAGTAAAATTAATTAGACTGAAAAAATAAGAAGAGCACTGACTTGATTTCCATTAGGGCACAACTACTGCTTTAATTCATACATGAATTCAATGTAAAAAATGAGCAGAATTTCTAAAGTGAATGAAAACCATTTGAGAAGTTTTCTTTAAACTCAAAGTATTTTTAGGTTAAAAGTCGAAACTTCTAAAATAATTTACTAAAGATAATTTATAAATGACTACCTATGATGACTATAAGCTACCTAAATGAAATTATCAACTACTTTTTGAAAAAATATAAGCTTAGGCATGAATCAGGAGTCCTGGAAAAGAAAAATGACCAAGAATCTACAAAATGGAGTTTCAGAAAAAAGTCATTACTATGTGACAGAATGACTGATGCCTCCCTATGCGGACATGAATAAACATTTTATTAGAGCTTACCTGCAGTTTCTGAGTCAGAGAGTCCCTCTGTTCTTGGAGTTCTCTGGCATTATCTATTTCTTGTTTTAATCTTTCTATTTCCTAGAAAAAGTAGAGCAATGTCTTTAACAACATTTAAGTGATATCAAGGAAAAGAGAAGGCACCATTTCCCCCTGAAATTACTGTCCTAGTTCTTTAAGACAATGATTTAAAGAACATTGATTTAAATTCCTTAAAAAAGGTGAAAGGATTTAAAAAAAAAGAAATTAACTCATAGGCAGACAACAGTATGGTGATTACCAGGGGGAAACAGAGATGGGGGTAGGTAGAAGAGAGTAAAGGAGGGACAAATGTATGGAAAGAGAGTTGACTTGGGATGGTTAACCATATACAGATGATATGTAATAGAATTGTGTTCCTGAAACCTATATAATTGTATTAACTAATGGCACCCCAGTAAATTCAATAAAAAAAATAAAGAGCATTCCTTTATACTGACTTTTTAGAGAGGTGAATTCAACTTTAAATATATATTTTTATTTATTTCAGAGAGGAAGGGGAAGGGACAGAGAGATAGAAACATCAATGATGAGAGAGAATCATTGATCGGCTGCCTCCTGCATGCCTTACACTGGGGATTGAGCCTGCAACCTGGCCACATGCCCCGACTGGGAATCGAACTGTGACCTCCTGGTTCATAGGTCAATGCTCAACCACTGAGTCATGCCGACCAGGCTGAATTCATCTTTATAGGCATGTTGTCTTGTGCAGAATAATCTTAAGAAGCAAGCAACAAGTCTAACTTGATGGCTTTGGTGTATACCACTGCTCAGAAACAGTCTGAACATTTTAAGGTTGTTTCAAGTTTTGAATTCTTCCCTGGGATGTTAAATCGAACTGAAAACCAGAGAAAGCAACAGCTTGTAAAATTCATATAACTTCTAATAGTTTCCTGTTGGTCATATGGATACAACTCTCAGACAGAGAGTTGCATAGTTGGTAGGCAACAAGCAGTATCTCAGTCTGATTGCCTCACCATAGTTCATAACAACAGAAACAAGGATGGAGAAAATATAAACAAGGTTAATATCACTCAAGAAAAATTTCACGCTAAAAAACCCCACACAGCCTTAACTTATTCCATCAAGTACATAGATTCTACTATTTTAGCTAGATTACAGATGAGCAAAAAGTAGAAAGTACCTCTTCCTTTTCTTTCAGTGTTTCTTCCAGTTCTTGTATTGTCTGATTTAATTCTGTCTTATGGGTATGCACTGCATTTGCTTGACTACTAACACATTCAAGCTCAGTCACCTAAAATTAAATGAGAACTCAGGTTAAATTATGTGAAAATTTCAAAGAATTTATTATTGAAGAGATAACAGACCCTTGATAGGTGAATAATGAATTTTGAATCAATATATGAAAATTAATTTTGAGAAATATTAAGATGGAAGAATAAATAGAAAATATTCTTTAAAGATGTGGATTTAGGACAAAAAAGAGCAAAGGAAATAACTATTTACATGGGTTGGTCAGGAAAAGGACAGGAAAACTTAAGTGATTAATGATAGTAGAAAATTCCTTTAAAAACTTCTCATAACATTCAAAATCAGATATAGTCATCTGCCCTCCCTGTAGCTTTCAAATTTAATTGAAAATTGGCCTTGCAGAGGTGAGAAATTTTTCTAATACGTTCCCAAAATGTAAGAGAATCTGGAAGAAAAAATATGCTTAAAGTACAACTTAAATATTTGATACTAGAATATCTACATATTAATAGTTTCTCTTATGGCAAAAGATAGTTCTTCAGTCAACAGATTGACCGAGAGCCCAAACACAACCTAACTTTTAATGAACACTTGCTATTTTTTGAGAGAACAGATACAATACAACCCATCTATGCTCTGAGAACCAATGAAAATCTCCAAGCGATGTGCCTGCGCCAAATCTACACGTAAATCTCCTCTGGTCGAGGAAATCTGCTGGCCATAAACTCCACGGACAGCAGCCGGTACTCGCCCGCTTGTGCAGACGCTCTGCTTCCTCTTGATATGCAGCAAGCTGCTGTTTCCATTGTTTCACATTGGCAGTAGACTCCAGCAGGGCTGCAGTGAGTTTGGCATTATTTCCTTTGAGGGTAGCCAGTTCGGCCTCCCAGTGTTTGCTGATTGCTGAACTGAAATAAAAAACACACAAAACAACTCGATCCATTATACCGAATATTACTACATGGAAAGGACAGAAGTACTCAGGTCAATCGTTTAGTTAATAGTTCATGAACGTTTCAAAGACAATCCAAGAAGAATGAAAACACCAAGTATTTCACTGAAATGCTCCTAGTAAAGAAAACCTAGCAAATGAGGAAATATAAAAAGTGCCAAAGTAGTAGGCTTATTGTGGAAGATAATTGTATGACAGATACAGATATCTATAGAAGAGTCTCCACCTGTTCTTTCTTTTCTTAAAAAAAATTTTTATTGATTTCAGAGAGGAAAGGAGAGGGAGAGAAAGAGAAATATCAATGATGAGAGAGAATCATCGATTGGCTGCCTCCTGCATGCCCCCTACTGGGGACCAGCCCACAACCTGGGCATGTGCCCTGAATACTGACACACCAGCTGGGCTCTACCCATTCTCTTTTGAAGAATAAACATTATATCCTGAAAAATATCTATGAAGAAAACCTAATAATGTACTATATTTTTAAGAGCATCATAGCCTGAAGTACAATTTTATTCCTTCATATAAAACATATGAGGATGCCCTAGCCAATTTGGCTCAGTGGATAGAGCGTCAGCCTGTGGACTGAAGGGTCCCAGGTTCGACTCTGGTCAAGGGGACATGCCCCAGTTGCGGGCTCAATCCCCAGTGGGAGGCATGAAGGAGGCAGCCGATTGATGATTCTCTCTCATCATTGATATATCTCTCTCTCTCCCTTCCTCTCTAAAGTCAATAAAAATATATTAAAAACAACAACAACAACCCCCCCCCCAAAAAAAACAGATGAGGATGCTTCAATGTTTTAATAAGGTTTGGGACATGTAATAGAGTATTTAAAATTATTGGTGACTTATTTCATCTTGTTCAGAATTTTTAAATGTCCTAAATATTTTTTTAAAATGCTGAAATAAAAATATTTCAGGTCATATGACAGACTAGACCTAGAAACTAATGATTTAATTTCTGATAGAATTCCCCTGTCACTGATAGAACAGAACTTAAAGCAATCACCTTTGCCCCCATTTAATGTTCTACTTGATAAGTTACCCATAGTATTTTAATCAAGACAATTTTCTATTACAATTACAATTCTACTAGTTAGGAAGATCCCTTTTTTAATAATTCCTTTCTTACACTTTATAATGAAGAAAGAATTGCCTCCTTTCTCATTATTGAACAGTTTGTTCCTATTAGTGAAGTTCTACTAACCTCATTCCATTAACTAACTGGTAATGATAATAGCTTTCCTTAATCCACATTTGATGTTTGATGTTATTTGCATCACAAAACAAATATTTTGATAGACTGATATTTTATAATAACATTAATATATATTATATAAAAGATAGCATAATTTCTACCATCAAGATTCCGAAAGCTCATCATGAATAATTAGACATATCAGCATTATGAGATCATTTTTGTGAAATTCTTGCCAAAAACTCATAACTCTCATCCCAATTATGAGAAAACATCCTATAAACCCAAAGTGGGAGACATTCTACAAGTTAACTGATTGGTGCTCTTCAAAAGTGTCAAGAAGAGATAAGACTGGGGAAAATGGAGAAGACTAAAAAGAAATAAGTAAATGCAATGTGAGATCCTGGTTAGGTCCTAGAACATAAAAAGGGACATTGGTGAAAACTGATATCTGCAGTTTAGTTAGAAGTATTGTATCAATGTCAATTTCCTCATTTTGATAATTATGATTATGAAAGATGTTAACATTAACGAAATCTGAGTGAGAGGCATACGGGAAATCTCTATACAGTTTTGCAACTTTCATATGTCTAAAATTAATTTAAAATAGAAAACTAAAAATGTTTCTAAAGGGTCCTGAAAATTTTTCATCAAAACATGAAAGAAGAGAATCAAACAATTAGTTAAGCTATTAATTTAACAACCCATTTTTCTCCTTAAAAAGAAAGTTCTTTCTGATTCTTCTTTTGTGGAATGATTTTCCAGATTCAGATTTTCTGAGCAAAGTGAACACTGATTCACCTGCTCTAACTGAATTATAGATTTTTTTTTTAAAACCACCTACCAATTGTTCCACTACAGAGATGAGTTTTATTTAAATGGGTTTTTCAAAACTCACAAAATTGTACAGAAGGGTAAATTTTACTATTTATAAATTATACTTCAATTAAAACTTTATTATCACACTGCCAAAAGAAAAAATAAAAGCTTTCTAAGCACTCCTAGATATTCTTCCTGTGACTGTAGCATTACAAATAATAAGAGCTGGAAAGTCTTCTTAGATGGGTAGAATGGTCTCTAAGCTGCTCCATTCATGTCTGTATTTATTGGCATGGGAAGAGACTGAGTGGGCAGGAAATAGAACAGCTGTGATATAATGAGAGTCCAAAATAAAAAGGAAGGAGGTGAGGGCATCTGGAGATGTTGATAAAAACAAGATTGGAGAAGTAGGATTATAGAGGCAGGGATACGCAAGGGAAAGGAATAGACAGTTGTAAATAAAATTAGTTTGGGGGTCTGGCCAGTGTGGCTCAAGGGTTGAGTGTTGACCTCTGAACCAGGAGATCATGGTTCCATTCCTGGTCAGGGCACATGCCTGGGTTGTGAGCTCAATTTCCAACAGGGGGCATGCAGGAGGCAGCCCATCAATGATTCTCTCTCATCACTTGTTTCTATCTCCCTCTCCCTTCCTCTCTGAAACACACACACACACACACACACACACACACACACACACACACTTAAAAATTGGCTTGGGTAAGGAAAAAATTGAAATGATGCCTCTGGAACAGGATAGAAAAAGATGAACATATAAAGTCTTGATATACCATAATTTATTTACTTCATAGCCATGAACATGTCTTGAGTCTCTAATGTATTAAGTAGTGAGATTTGGCCACAGATAGTAAGTTCAATGAATTCCCACTAACTCTTTTCTTCCTTTACTCTGCAGAGTTCCAAAATACTGCTGATTGCACTTAAGAAAATAAATATTGAAGCAAATTATTTTATCAAATACTTGCATGCATATTGCACAAGACTACAATAACAATCTAAGACCTAATAGTCCTGAAATGAGTAGTACAGGAGACCCGTTCAATGCTAAGTTTGTGTGTTTCTGCATTTTCTGCATTGGTTCCAACGTAAATAAAGATATGTTCTTATGGCCATTTTGTACTATCAACCAAAAACTGCATCTTTGTTGGTAAATTTGAATCTTTCAGGACATTCTTGCTTCTTCTACTTTAGGAGTGGCTTCATTAATAATCCATCTTTCTAGAGCACAATGTGAAATACAATTTAGAAAATAAAACACTTTTTATTATTTTAATTTGCCCTGTTTTCTCTGGAGAGCTTCCTTGTATATTCTTTTCACCACCCAGTATTTATTAGAATACCCTATATAATATCAACTTACAATGAATTCCAAAGAGTATCCTGCAGGAAGTTCTGCATGTGAGCTATTTGTTATCTCAGATGTGTTCAGCTCTAATATATAATTTTAAATACTTGGCACACTTTTGCAATTTTGAGAAACAATGTTCCTTTCTTCTATCTACAATTCCTCCCCCTTTAGACTCATATTTAGCAGTAATTAATACCTTGGGATTAATTCTGATACCAAAACTTTAAGTTAGCATCTTACATTTCAGGAATATTGTTAAAAAAAATTGAGATTCTCTGACTGCTAACTTGGTCTTTTTTTTACAGGTACACTTTTGACAGTTTCACACTGAATAAACTGCTCACAAAGAAACACCTAAATTGTTCAGCTGGAGACACCAGTGAGTCAGAAGAGATTTCGAAATACCACTATGACCTCATGTCTGAGTGCTGGAATAAGAACAAAATAATTCTTTACTCCCATGGCTGGTAAAGTTTCCCTTCAAACATGACCGGCTAGTTTCCTGCTGGCACTTCCGATCTAGAAGTCAGGGAAGGAGTTCAGAACATTCCAAAAACATCATTTGAAAGGTTCCTGAAGCTGGAATTTTACCATTTTCCTTTATCTAAAGTCAAAGTTCTACAAGAAAGCAGTCAACTCAATTAAATTAGTTATACTTCAATAGTATCATCTAACAAATAGGTAATCTAGCTAACAAAATAAGAGTCTAGTGCATGAGCAACACACTTATTTAACCTGTGGAGTAAACCCTGTGAGTCCATGGTCAGTAATAGGATTTAAGAAAACTGCCTCTCCTCCATGCCTCCAGGGGCCAGGATCCACCATCAGTCTCTAAAAGGGCAGCGCCTTGCATGTGCTTCTTAAGCATGTTAATTATGTAGAATTGTGAAAAATACCCAGATAAGATTTTAAAAGAGGATTTAAAAATAGACTGCAACAGGCTCACTTTTCGACATTATTCTCAGTGTGAATGGTGAGGTCACTCCCTAACTATGCAAATAAGACTGACTCAAGCCCTTCACAATCCTGACCTGTCTCAGGATTGGCCTAGTGCAGTGGTCGGCAAACTTATTAGTCAACAGAGCCAAATATCAACAGTACGATTGAAATTTCTTTTAAGAGCCAAATTATTTTTAATGTATTTTATTGATTTTTTTACAGAGAGGAAGGGAGAGAGATAGAGAGTTAGAAACATTGATGAGAGAGAAACATCGATCATCTGCCTCCTGCACACCCAGCTGCCTCCTGCACACCCCCTACTGGGGATGTGCCCGCAACCAAGGTACATGCCCTTGACTGGAATCGAACCTGGGACCCTTCAGTCCGCAGGCCAACGCTCTCTCCACTGAGCCAAACCGGTCAGAGCTTGAGCCAAATTTTTTAAACTTAAACTATATAGGTAGGTACATTGTTATTAACTTAATTAGGGTACTCCTAAGGCTTAGGAAGAGCCACACTCAAGGGGCCAAAGAGCCGCATGTGGCTTGCGAGCCGCAGTTTGCCGACCACTGGCCTAGTGGTCTCTCTTCACTGCCCGTCCATACCTGTGAAGGCAGAAGCAGCCAACATGG